CAAACTTTTGGGGAGCAGGAGGTTTACAGGGGAACCTGGGCCTCCCTGCTCTCTGACCTGCAGCCTCTGGGTGGTTCTCAGGGACCCAGGGACAGTGAACAGTCTCCTTCTCTGCTCCCTTTCCTCTTCCCCAGCACCCTTCAGGAGGGTGCTTTCTGTCTCTGTTTGGCCCTTTTCCCCCAAGGACTGTGCTTTGGAAATGCAGAAAACGAGGACTCACTCCCAGCTTCTCTAGGAAGCTGCTGTCGGCCTTTCCCTGAAATGACAAATGCCTCCCTGATAGAACAGAGTACAGGAGATGGGACATCGTCTAAGCCATCTTCTTGTTCAGACTGTTTAATCTGAGTCATGAGAAAACAGAAATCCAAATTACGTAACATTCTCTAAGATGCTTGGATACTTAAAAAATGTCAATGTCATGAAAAAAAAAAAAGTGGGGAAACTTTTCTGATTCAAGGAGACTAAAGAGACTTGATAACTGAAAGCAGCGAACGATCCTTCACTGGATCCTGGATGGATACAGAGTAAAAGCCATGGAGGACATTCCTCTGGCACTTGGAGTATGGCCCCGCTTTAGCTGGTATTAATGTCTGGGCACTAAGTGCCCTCCTGGGTAAGGGAGGTGCTCGAGGGTCACTCGTGTGTTAAATTAGAGTAATAGTGGTATTGTGCTCATGTAGGAATGTCCTTATTTTTAGGTGTCGCCTGGTGTATTTGGGGGTGAAGCAGCATGGTATGTGCAGCTTATTTTTAAATGGCTCAAGGTGAGGGGGATGTTTGTGTATGTCCCTGACAGGAACAATGCAAATATGGCAAAATCTTGACAGTTGGTGATTCTGGGTAAAGGACATTAAACTATTCTTTCAACTTGGGGAGGGTGGGCCTCTCCTCTGCTGCACCAGCAGGGCTGGGAGAGGGGGCCCAGGTACTATGATACAGGGAGTGCAGGACCCTCCCTGAGACCCTGATCTAACCCTCAAGGCCCCTCCCCTGCTGCCGCAGAAACACTCAGGCTCTGAAGGGGTAAAAGTGTCCACCCAGTTCCCCGAGGCCCATCAGGAGTAGAGCTGGGCTGCTCGCTGGTCAAGTCCAGCGTGACTGCCTCCTGTGTTCACTCACACCTCTGAGTATCTGGCTCAGTGCCCAGGCAACCTGAAACCCATCCACTTACCTTTGAGTCACCCTCAGCCATGTCTCAGGGCAGGGGGTAGGTCCAGGAAGGTGCCAGCCCCAGGAGTTAATCTGAGCCATCCATGGTCACTGGACGCTCAGCCACCACTGCCAGGATCTAGACATGAGGGCACAGCACTCCTAGCGCAGGGGGTCTGGCCCACAGGCTTCAGATGAGCTCACGAGCGGCCCCTCTGGGGAAGGCATGGCAGCCCGAACAAAGTTCCTGGGAAGGTAGTTCCCCTGGGCTTGAGGTCACCAGCACCTCCGCTGCGCTGTGCCAAGGGAGGAGACCAGGTGCCTGCAGCTCGGCCGGGCCCAAGAACTTTCTGAAACACATGTTCTTACCACCAGACATGGGCACCTACTGTTCCGCCTGCTCTCCCCTGCACCCCATCCCCATCTCCCAAAGCCGGTTAATACCCACTGTCCTTCAGCCTTGACCTGGGTTTGGCGGAGCTGTCACGGGTTCCCACAGCCTCACTGTGCTGCATCTCTTTTTCTACTGTCTGCTGTGGACCGGAACTCACCTATGGCACCTTCCGTGTCTCCCCCCCCGGGGCGTGAGCTCTATGAGCAGGGGAGGTGCTCAGGAAGTGCATCCAGTGCATGTAACTGTCAGGGTGCAGGCAGCTGCTGGGGTACCGAGTGCCCCGTCCTGGGTGAAGCGCACGCAGAGCCGGGGTCTACGGAGGGGGCGTGAGTTGTCAGCGTGAGCAGCCCATCTCAGCTCCCACATAGCAACGATGAAGCATTTATTTCTCTGGAGGAAGCTGGTCAGGCAGATGTTACACACTCATCTTTCGGGAAGGGAACCGAGAGCTTAGTTTTCCTGCCGGGGGTCAAAGAGCTGGTGCATGAGAGCGCTGGCGTTACAGTTTGCACTCGTCAGCCTGTCTCCAAGGAGCTGCCACTTGGAAGGGGTCTGGCTGTCTCCTGGGGCGTCTACTCCACCCGCCTCATCCCAGCCTGGCCCGCCCCGCTGCAATAACACCATGAGCCCGTGGTGCACGTTACCTCATTTATTCTCACAACATGCCTGTGAGGTAGGGAGGGGCGGGGACTGTCCCCATTTTACAGAGGAGGAAGTTGAGGCACACAGAGGTCAAGTGACTTGCCCAAGGTCACAGACGGCGGCCAAGCTGGAATGGGCCCTAGAGCAGGCCCACAGTTCACCCGGGGCCCCTGTGGCAGGTGCTGGACACGAGGACGTCTCCAGTGCCGCAGCCGTGGCCACAGGAGAGCAGTCGTTGTGCACGGAGCTTGCTGCAGGCCTGGCCTCGCCCTCTCCCTCCCTGCCCCCCACCTCACCCTGCAGGCCTGGGCCATCACAGCTCAGGGCTCATGACACCCTGGGAGTGGGGCTGGGGAGCAGGGGAGAGAGAAGGATGACCGGGGTAAAAAAATAGAAAACTCAGAGGCCAGGCAGATGGGCCCATGGCCGGGGAGCGGGGGGCAGGTGAGAGACAAAAAAAGGGGGAGCTGCTTACACACAAGGTATATATTTTTACACACACGTGTACGCACACCTAGATATAGTACATGTAAAAATATATGCTATTCACACACCCGCCTCCTGCCAGGTGCCCCCGAGAGCCAGCGGTGGCGCTGGTGGGCATGGGTGAGCAGAGGGGCGTTTGTTAAATATACACTCTAAGGTCTATGTGCATATGTACACATACGTACAGACACAGCCGCCCGCCCCTCGGGTACTGTACACAGGCTCGGCCAGGGACACATGACCCCTGGAAAATGGGGTCCCTCTCTTGAGTGGCCCCTGCAAGTCACTCTAGGTCATACATTTTGCTGAAGGAAGAAGGGGCTGGAGAGAAGAAAAAGGCGGGAGTCTGGAGTGTGGTAAGCTGTGGTTTTTATCTCATTCCCACCCCCACCCCCCAAAGACTTCAGCCCTCCTTATGGTCTCAGAGAGGCGAGTCACCCACCTGACGCTGCCTAGGGCTGGCAGATCACAGTGGGAGGGCTGCTTCTGCTGAGAGGAACCTGTATTTGCGTGTGCGCGCGCGCGCGTGTGTGTGAGCACTCGGTGGGGGAGGGGACGCGTGTCCATCTCTCTGTCCTCTGGGCTCACCCACAAAAAGGGCTGAGAACCAGAAAGCCGATAGTCAGGATGGTGACCCCTGTGTGAGCTCTTAAGGGAAAAGAGAAAAACATAAGAATGAAAACTCCAAGGTCAGAGCTGGGGTAGCCAGGAAAAGGAGGAAGGACATGGCAGGTGCCCAAGGCTGCCCTTGGGCTGTCGTCATCTTGTAAACAAGCTAGTTTAAGTTCTCATTAGATAGAGCAAGTAAAAAGACCGTAGTCTGGAGGCTGGGCCGGGGTGTTGCCGAAGTCCATCTATCTAGTCCACCACGGCCAGTAAGAGGAAAAAAAAGTTTTATAGTTTTGTGTTTCTGTTGATTTTTTTGTGAAGTCTTCATAACCTAAAGCTGGGAGGGACCCAAGAAAGCCAAATCGTGAGCCCTTGTATGCGTCAATTTGAAAGTTGGCTCAGGGTCTCTAGACAGAATAACCACACTGAAGGTTGAGAAAATTTTGTTCCTTTCGCATTAAGTTTGTAGGTTTCTTTTTTTAATGACTTAAAATTGTTTTGCTTCCTGCTTCCTGGTCTCAGAGCCGGGTCTGGGCCTCAGGGACATAAATCTCGATGCTGTCCGCGCTCTCCGTGGCTGAGTTCTGCCGCACGGAAGCTGCCCGCTTGGCCGCCAGGAGCCTCTTGCGGGCCTCCTGACGCTGCTTGTCCCCAGCGTCAGAGGCCTTGTCGCGGCTCACTGCCGGCTTGGATTTGGCTGGCTTCTTTGGGACCGGAGGGGGTAGTTTCTTCTCTTCCTTTAGTGAGACAGTGAGGAGAGAAGAAAAATAAAATAAAGGTGCCACCTTTTGTGTGGTGCTACCACCCACCGTATGCTGGCAGCTGGAGCCTCCACCCCAGCTTCCCTGCATCGGGCACAAGCAACACACATTTGGAATCAGGAAGCCACAAGAAGCGATGATGGTGGGAATAGCACAAGGCATAGGAGCAAAAAGCAAGCTTACAATCCTAGAATGTTCTAGTAGGAAGGGACAGACAGATCACCTCTTCCCACCCCTGCTCTGAACCACTGAGAGCCTGAAATTCATGCAGGAATCATATAGCCAGAGATGGGATTTAAATTCAGGGCCTCCGACTCCCAGGTCACATTTCACATGCTATTCTAGGGGATCAGAACTCACAAGGGCCACAGTCCAGTAACCAATAACCAAAGGGGTCATTGGGTGCCACGGTTTTACAGATGGAAGCCTGATCCTCAGGGAAGAGGCTGGCGCAGGAGGCAGAATCGGGTCCAGACCCCTGTACTCCTGGCAGCGTGGTCCTAGGAGAAGGACCATTTTTCTACCTCCAGGGTTCCAACGGCTGTGTCTACGCTAGTGCTCTGGGCTGTGGGCATGTGTCTCCCACTTTCTGAACATGCAGGGCAGGAAGGCATGCTTCGGGGGGGGCAGCCTCAACTACACAGAGCGAGTGGCATGCTGGACGAGCGCCGAGCATGGACCCCGCACACTGATGGACGTGAGCCCCCAGCTCAAAGACGACACACAGAGAAGGGAGCCAAGCAGCACTGACCGATGTGGCCAGCGTTATTGCCGACCAGGAATTTGTCCCTGGACTTCCCCTCCGCACTGCTCCATGCTCACCTTCCTCTTCTCGGGGGTCTCCACCAGCTGCCAGCTGTTGGCCTTGAGGTGGTAGAGTTCATCAAACTTCATGCTGATGTCCTCGATGGACAGCTGCAGCAGGTCCCAGAACCCTGCCAGGTCCTGGGCTGTTGGACGTGGGTTGGCATCAGGGTTCTGTGGGACAGACGGGGATCAGTGGGGCAAGGAGGGCAGAGGCTTGTTCTGCACCCCATCCCAAGTACTGTCTCCTAGCTCTGCCAGCCCTGGTTGGCTTCTCTTGAGGCCTGGTCTTACTCTCCTGTTCCCAGGGTCAGGTCAGTATCTGTATGAGCGAATGAACCCAGTTCCTGATTACTGCTGGCCCTGATGGTGGAGAGCTTTGGGAGAGAGAGACAGTCCTATCATGAGAGTGGGTCCTGCACACACATGGGGACTGAGGCCTTCGCCACCACTGAAGGGCTACAGGGAGGAGGCAGGATCACTCCCAGGTGGGTGTGATTCCAGAATCCGTGTGGTTTCTAGCCCATCATTCTGTTCTCTGACAGCGCATTCCTCATCAGGACTTCCCCAGTGAACACCCAAACCCCTACCGGTCCTAGAGACAAACACTCGCCACTGTCCTCCACCCCTGGGGGTTACACCACCCCTGCCAGATGGAAAGAGGCCTCCACAGGAAAAGCTGCTGCCTAGCGGCAAGGGTGAAGGAGAGGGAAACCCACCAAGTGTCATGGTGGTTATTTCTTTAGTTCTTACCTTGACTGTCTTCTTAGATATAGAGTATGTTGTATATAAATAAATCAGTGCCAACTGATTTTTAACTTTCATGTGGCTGTTTTTACATAGAGTTCACTTTTCTATTTCAGAAGGTAGTAGAGCTCTGAAAGGACCATTCCTGGCCCTTTTCCTGTGCTAGGCACTGACACACACCACTGTCATCTGTCCAATGCCATGAGGAAGCAGCACCTTCTCCATGTTAGAGAGGAGGTCATAGAGGCTTAGAGGCTAATCCAGCTAGGGGATCTGGCTAGAAGACCCACTGTGGAGGAAGAAGAATCACACTCACCAAGTTTTGCTCACAGAGGCCCCGGAACTGCTGGAATTTCTGTGACATCAGTAGCTGGGCACTGCCCACAGCACTGAGGACCTTCCCTAAGACTGAGAAAGAGAAGGTGGGAAAAGACTGAGCAGAGCACAGGGTCTGCTGGGGTGGAACACAGGATCAGGGTCATGGCTTCCACCTCCCCTCCCCGCATTAGGACACCAATCATTATTTGGTGATGGCAGTCAGTCTTCATTTTATTTACACATTAACCCACTCTCACTGTGAAAAATGCAAACCAGACACATAAAGTGAGCCCCATCCCCTAGTTGCTAAGGACATTTTATGGCAATAAATTTAAAAACTAAGTTTAAATGAAAAAAATTTTCAGGAAAACATAAATTACTATCATAGACTCAAGAAGAAACAGAAAATCTGATTAGGCCAATAACTGTTTTAAAAAACTGAAGCAGGAGTTAAAAATCTTCCCCAGAAAAAGGAACCAGGCCTATGTAGTTTTACAGGTGTGGTTTTACAAAACCTTCCAGGAATAGATAATCCTTGTTTTATACATTCAAATTCTTCCTGAGAGTAAATAAACAGAAAATGACAGCAAATTTCAGGAGCCGAGAGAACAGAGGACATGCCAAGAATAGGGCACTTTCATTATGAACATAAAAGTCTTAAAGCAAAGAGAATCCAACAGAAGAGTTCAACATGAAGTGTTCAGCCCAGGAAAACAAGGCTGAAATCTTTTAGTGTGATTTCCAGTTTTAAAGTGGTGGCAAGAAAACGGTACTACCTCCTAGCCCCCTTAGAAATCACTGAAAAGCAAAACAGTATAAACAAGAAATAAAAATGCAAACTGTCTCCTGACAGAACTCTCGAACGTAGTATATGAGGAAGGCTGCCACATGCAGTGATAGCCACACAAGGAGGATTCTTGGGATTGAAAGGCTCAGATAAAGGTGGCAGTTCTGAGTTCTCAAATGTAGCATAACTTGAGAGGAGAAGCCAATAATCTCTTATTTGAAATAAAAAGGGGGTGTGGACTGCAGCAGGAGCGTTCCTGGACCTGGTTCAGCACCAAAGGTGGGGGGCAGGGGGACGAGGACGAAACTGCATGGTAACCGCCCTCTAGTTGCCTGGGGAGAACACTAGGCTGAAGAACACACCCTGCACCCATCACCATGCCTGAGGAATTCCTGCCAGCCTGGGACACAGTCCTGGCTCCTCTCCCACAGTGGTCTACTTACAGCAGCTCATGAAGGAGGAATTCCACCTCATTCAGAAATTAGTTATTAAAAAGGAACCAACACAGGAGCTAAACATGTTATAGGAGCAGTAAATGGCAGATGCACACTCACCAGAAAGTTGTTGCCAGAGAGCAGATGAAAAGTGTGACATTTAGCCACAAATATTTAAACAGTAGTTCAAAGCAGAGATAAGGTACTCTGAAAAGAGATGCAAGACAATGGAAGGGGATAAAACATGAGCTCTGGAACTAGTGCAAGAGAAAAATCAGGCATCACAGAAACAAGGGCCATGATGGACACAGCACAAAGAATAAACCCTGATGAAAACCAATAAGGACAAGGAGGACAGGAGTGAAAAACTCCTGGCACAAAACACTTGCACTGCTAGATTAACAAGACAAGGCGTCTTAAATGAATAGCTAAGCTGCTGGGGATAAAATGACCCCCCACCCGCAGAAGGTAGTGGGTATATGTGCCTGGCTTGGTCTGAAGTAGGATAGGAGGGCTTCCCTGGTGGTGCAGTGGTTAAGAATCCACCTGCCAATGCAGGGGATGTGGGTTCGATCCCTGGTCTGGTAGGACCCCACATGCCATGGAGCAACTAGGCCCGTGCACCACAACTACTGAGCCTGTGCTCTAGAGCCCGTGAGCCACAACTACTGAAGCCCGTGTGCCACAACTACTGGAACCTGCGCACCTAGAGGCTGTGCTCTGCAACAAGAGAAGCCACAGCAATGAGAAGCCTGCGCACGGCAATGAAGACTAGCCTCTGCTCGCTGCAATTAGAGCAAAGCCCGCACACAGCAACAAAGACCCAAGGCAGCCAAAAATAAAATAATTAAAAAAAAAAAAAAGTAGGATGGGAATAAGAGGAAAAGTCTCTCCTGAGAATTCCTAACCATAAGACTGCACTTAGGTACCTTATTTTTTAAGAAATAAAGGAAGCAACTAGATGTATTAAAAAGATGAGACTGTTTTTAAAAAAGTGACTGAGAGACATGGAGGCGAGAGGGAGACTTAAAATACATCTATCAGAGTTCTAAAAGGACAGAGAGAATGGAAGAAAAGAAATTTATTCAGAGAGATGATTCAGAATATGAATAAAGGAACCATCCCAAACTCATTTTATGAAGCTAGATAACCTTGGTCCTAAAACAGGACAAGGATGAGAAAGGAAAATCACCAGCCAAGTAATCCTGCCTTTGAAGAAAGGCAAAATTATTAAATCAGATATTAACAAAAGTACAACAGTGTACTAAAATAATATAACTCAGCTGGGTTCATTCTGGTAATACAAGACTGATTCAACATTAGAAAATTCTAATGACTTCTGATTCTGACTATGAAAAACCAGTTACTATCAGACAAACTGAACCCTCCCACCAAGAAAAATTAAAAAAAAAAAAACCTAAATAAAATACCAAAAACAACAAAAAAATCTTTCAAGGTATTAAAAAAAAATTACCGAGGCAACCAGAATTTGAGAGACTAAGATGTCAGTGAGAACGGAAACTATACTCAGCCAAGTCTGATATTCTGTGCCGCCTTCGACCCCACGGCGTCTCCCAGCTTATAAGCAGCGCAAGGCTGAGGGGCTAGGAAGCCAAGCAGAAAGTGGTGGTTCAGAGCCTGAGAAGCTAAGCAGAACTTGTGGCAGTTCCATGGGGACAGGGAGCCCAAAACTGGAATTCGGAGCTACCAGAGCAGACAGGACTTGGGGGAAAGTGCATCAGGCTGAGCAAAGCTTCCAGCAGTCTTAAGATGGGGGAGAAACAAAAATTGGAGCTCAGTGTCTGCCAAGGAGGAAGGGCTTGGAAATACCCCAGGCTGTCACAAAACCCAGCTCTGAACCAGCTCAATCCCATATTAGATTAAGTTGGTCTGGCCCTGCTCTAATTGTCTGCAAGAAGCAAAAGTAAATTCATTCTCAAAGAATAGAAAATCGTCCTCAAAAAAAAAGAAGAAAAGAAAATCATCCTGAGCTTCAAGTTATCTCTGTAGCTTTCGCATACAGTCTCTGGCATTGAATAAAAATTACCAAGCATGCCACGAGGTAGGGCCAAATGACTGCACACCAAAAGAGAAAAATCGGCAAAAAGTAAAAGAACTGTAGGGGATGTAGAGGTATAGGACCAGGGCTTTAAAATGACTGTGAATATGTCCCAGAAAATATATGACATGATGAGGAATTTCAGCAAAGAACCAGAAATCTATCAAAAAGAATCAAATGGAAATTCTAGAACTAAAAAATAGAGTAACTGAAATTAAGACTGCAATAGACTCTTCAATAAGTGGTGCTGGGAAAACTGGACAGGTACATGTAAAAGTATGAGATTAGAGCACTCCCTAACACCATACACAAAAATAAGCTCAAAATGGATTAAAGACCTAAATGTAAGGCCAGAAACTATCTAACTCTTAGAGGAAAACATAGGCAGAACACTCTATGACATAAATCACAGCAAGGTCCTTTTTGACCCACCTCCTAGAGAAATGGAAATAAAAACAAAAATAAACAAATGGAACCTAATGAAACTTCAAAGCTTTTGCACAGCAAAGGAAACCATAAACAAGACAAAAAGACAACCCTCAGAATGGGAGAAAAAAATTGCAAATGGAGCAACTAACAAAGGATTAACCTCCAAAATTTATAAGCAGCTCATGCAGCTCAATAACAAAAAAACAAACAACCCAATCCAAAAATGGGCAGAAGACCTAAACAGACATTTCTCCAAAGAAGACATACAGATTGCCAACAAACACATGAAAGGATGCTCAACATCACTAATCATTAGAGAAATGTAAATCAAAACTACAATGAGGTATCACCTCACACCAGTCAGAATGGGCATCATCAGAAAATCTAGAAACAATAAATGCTGGAGAGGGTGTGGAGAAAAGGGAACCCTCTTACACTGTTGGTGGGAATGTAAATTGGTACAGCCACTATGGAGAACAGTATGGAGGTTCCTTAAAAAACTACAAATAGAACTACCATATGACCCAGCAATGCCACTACTGGGCATATACCCTGAGAAAACCATAATTCAAAAAGAGTCATGTACCAAAATGTTCATTGCAGCTCTATTTACAATAGCCCAGAGATGGAAACAACCTAAGCGCCCATCATCGGATGAATGGATAAAGAAGATGTGGCACATATATACAATGGAATATTACTCAGCCATAAAAAGAAACGAAATTGAGCTATTTGTAATGAGGTGGATAGACCTAGAGTCTGTCATACAGAGTGAAGTAAGTCAGAAAGAGAAAGACAAATACTGTATGCTAACACTTATATATGGAATTTAAGAAAAAAAAAGTCATGAAGAACCTAGGGGTAAGACAGGAATAAAGACACAGACCTACTAGAGAATGGACTTGAGGATATGGGGGGGGGGGAAGGGTAAGCTGTGACAAAGCAAGAGAGAGGCATGGACATATATACACTACCAAACGTAAGGTAGATAGCTAGTGGGAAGCAGCCGCATAGCACAGGGAGATCAGCTCGGTGATTTGTGACCACCTGGAGGGGTGGGATAGGGAGGGTGGGAGGGAGGGAGACACAAGAGGGAAGAGATATGGGAACATATGTATATGTATAGCTGATTCACTTTGTTATAAAGCAAAAACTAACATACCATTGTAAAGCAATTATACTCCAATAAAGATGTAAAAAAAAAAAGACTGCAATAGATAGGTTTAATAGATTGGTTACAGCTGAACTATAAAATAATCCAGTAGAAAATATCCAGACTGAGGTCCAGAGGAAGAAAAAAAAAAGGGAAAATACAGAAGAGAGAATGAAGAAGCGTAAGATGTGGCAGTCTAAAATATGTGTAATTGGAGTCCACAAGTAG